AAGTAAATATTGACGACAAAAGCATATGTTATGAAAGGCTGAGGGAGTCACAATTTCGAGATCGTCAGGCGTAAGACTAACTATGTGTCTTTTCAGTAGATCTCCATGTGAAAAGGTACGAAAGTTTTATTGCATGTGCTTTCATAAAGCTCTTGGCATCAGATGACAACACTAATCATATCTCATACCTCCTTATCTTTTTTCCCAGTAAGATATAAAGTATGTAGATATATGTGGAAGTTCAGCCAACTTTTCGCAAAATCATTCCTATAAAAATAATTCAAAAATAGGTATATACCAGAAGTTATGTATATTTGAGAGTGAGTTTTTCTCACTATGGGGTTTGTTTTATCAAACAAAGTAAGATGTCTTCCAAATTCACACAAGCTGATAAGATTAAAAAATATGAAACAGAAAGACTTATCAAGTATTTGCGGGAGGATTCCAAATCAGAAGGCTTAGAACTTAACAATAACTTTTTTACAAAGCTTGAGGAGAAAGAAATCACTGATAGTTCATTTCTCAAACTAACCAGATGGGATTTTAAGGAATATGAAATAACATTAGGACAAGCATTAGAACTTGAGAATTATATAAAAAGGTTGGATGAGTAATTAATTTCATCGAGCCAGAGGGGTTCGAAGAGAGATCATTCGCTTTGCATAATGTTATAGCTGAAATCTAACTGTTATTTCCTTTGGTAACAGGTGTTTGAGAAGTAAAAATAGGTTTAGGAGATGTTATCGTTAAAAAATAGTATTTTTATTTACATCATGTAATAGCGATATAGTCACAATCTTATATATTGTAGGCTGAGTTTTGGCAATGTTTTTTTTTTATTTTTTAAATAAAGCATATATTATGTTCTTGTCGTAAATCTTAAAAAATATCACGTGTAATGATATAATATAATCATCTGACAATTTTGTACTATATTTTAATTGTATATATATTGGGCAAATGCATTATAAATTGATATAAAAAAATCTATCATTTCTTTCCGAGTGTCGAAAACCAAAAAATACTTTTATATCCATAAACCAGCTTTACCTGTATCTGCTGTCAGATGTATAAATTTTTTTCGTAAGCACAAACTTACATATATAAAAACCATATCTTCACAAGCCTCTACACCTTCTTCTCCAAGCTCAATAACAGAAGAAATTTCTTCTTGAATAATGTCGGACGTGATTAAGGATTTTAATACAGAGGAGCTTATTGATTATCTGGAAAGAAAAGACTTGAAGATGATATTAAAATTTTTTGCAAAGAGAAAGTTGCTTGTCATGATTTTCTTAAGTTAATAGAAAAAAAGCTTGAGCGTTATGAAATGAAAGGAGGGCTAGCAACAAGACTTGTAGACTTTATCGAAGGTTTCAGCCAGAAGCTACAAAACTATTCCTTGCTTAAAACTCTCGACGACTTAAAAAAAATGTTACATAAAAATAAGGTGAATAGGGAAGATATAACAAACATCAAGCAGTTTACTTCTGATAGGTAATTAATTAATTTTCGAAACTGACTAGATAACTATATTAACTTTATTTTTTCTATAGTTTTTGAGGAGATTAGTGATGATGATAAAGCGTTCGAACACTGTATGGAGGATATTATCTTAAAACTTTTGAACATAGAGACCATGACCGATGCTAACGAGGCAATGTACTATGAATTTATTTCAGCTATATTACATGCGTCAATTGCTATCGCCAAAAAACTCACCTCTCAAGATATATTCATAGTTTTATAGAAAGACGTTTTCGGTGAAGATGCTACTAGCTGAGTAGATTACGCGATCAAAAGTCTAGAAGATCTTCTTTACATCACTGAAGGAAAACTACGAAATATTAAGATTGAATATGCACAAGTAGGCCTACTATCCACATTTTCGCTTATTTGCATAGCAAACGATATTAATGATGGTTTATCTCTTAGAATCTAGCATAACTTGAAAGCGCATTTCAGATAAATAAAAAGAAATAGACTACAGATCAAGCATTTGGGAATGACTATTTTGACTATATCTATGGTATTGTGATCACAGGTATGGAGTGGCATTTTATCATATATACTCCGGATGGCATCTTCTTCACAAGTGGTAGCGAATATCAGATTAATCTTACAAAGTCCGCAGTTAAAGATAATTCTAAATTACTTTAAAGCAACGTGAAAAGGGTAATCAGCATAATTATAGGGTTGTTGAAGGATCAGGTTAGTGTAGATAGTTCCTCGACTAGCAAGAGAGTTAGGATCAAAAAATTTATCAAAAAATAATATGTATCACAGTTATATCCTGAACATTTGTATTTATTTTCGCATGTATTAATAAAAATTTTCTTGGCATTTTTCTGAGACTGCGCGGTCCCAGAAATCTGATGACTTTATAACCTATTTCTCAATGACATAGTTTCTATATAATTATATATACTAACTATTTTTTGAATATTTCACTTCTTATATAAAATTTATCAATAATGACATCTGAGCTTGAAGTATTGAAACAGCATATCGTTGAACTTGAAGCTAAGAATGCTAAGCTTGAGGCTAAAAAAGCTGAACTTTTAAAGTAGATTATGGAGGAGAATACTAGACGAGATGTTAGAGTTGAGGAACTGAAGCAAAAAAATAAGGAGCTTGAGATCAGATTTGCGATAGTGAAACAGGCTTTCTTACCAGTGAAAGAGCAGTCGTATAATAATAATCCTTCTGACAATAGTATATCTAACTTTAATTCAGTTGCAAAGTATCATGAGAAACCATTAGTGGATATGAAAACAAATAATTCCTTTCCTGAAGGGTTTGCTATAATAAACAAGAACTGGTGGCAACGGTACCTGCTAACTCTGTGAAGCGCCTTAACGGCAAATCATTGAAAGAGAAAGATATAAATAGTTTCTTGCTTGAGGCTCATAAAAAAATCGTTAGTAATGAAATAAAGCAACGTAATAAGGAAAAGAAGAATGAAAAAAAATGGGTAAGGATTGATTCAAGAAATCTTTTCATCTGTGTCCAAAGAAAATCATGTGACTAAAATTTCTGAGACAGTACGGTCCCAGAAATCTCATAATTCGGATGCATTAGTGTCTTCATTTTATGAGACTAGTATGATAGAGATATCTCAGCATTTGGTCCAGTTATGTGATAAAGCGCTTATTGCAGAAGAGCATAGATTAGAAGCAAATCAAGAAGAAATATTATGCTGGTACCACTATAGAAGAAATTTCGTATTTCAGTTAGAGGCCTTGTGTGATAAAAATAAAATTAGCGAAAAGAAGACAAGAGGTTTAATATACAATGAAGTCGTGAAGCAAGTTAATATCTTTCGTAAGAAAAGATCTCAAGATACAGGGGTGCCATTCTCAGACATAACAAGAGATGGTTTGCGTAAAAAAACTCAAAGAGCTGAGAAGATCTACAAACTTCTCAAAAAAATAGGATTAGATAAAATCCAGTATATCAAGTCGTATAATACGAATGAAATATCAAAGTTTACTAATGATGAAATCTAAAAGATTATGGATCATTTCTCTAATAAGCCCAGTACAGATTTCAGTGAGGATCAGAACAATTTTATTAACGATTATTCTTTCAGTAAAACTGATACATCAGAGATGCGAGTGAATTCCTTGGTTTTAGTGGAGGTAAGCGAATCAACAGCACCTATCCCTTTAACTCATGACTCTAATTCTTCTGATGATTTCAAAGAAATCAGCCCAAATAATTTGCTCAAAGCTATGGACAATTATTATAAAATGATCTTGGAAGAATGTGCGAAGGATTGTGAATATTTTGATAAGAAAGTTGATTCCGCATCCCAGTCAGTGAAAGAAACGAATAAAGAAGTTATTTCGCAATCAGGAGGAGAAACAAATGAAAGTAAATCAGACGATGAAAATGATTCTGATGATTCTGAAGAAGAGATGCCAGACGATTCAGATGATGATGAATATGATAGATATAGTGGATATAATGAATATGGTGAATGTGATAGAGGCTATTATTATTGTGATGGAAGATACGAAAAAAAAACCTCACCAATGATGAGTCCTATTATCTCTCCGCTATCCGTCTAGGAGAATTATTGGATGAATTGCATACTCGCTTAGACTGAATTATCGTATCTTTTTTTTTGAATCACGTGGGTGGCTTAGATATCGTACACAGTAAAACATCATTTATTCTTCTCCGCAGTAATTATGTCTCATGATTTATAATATTTTTTTTTTCGTAATTTTGAATTTTCTATTCTAAAGTCAAGAGTATAGTTCATAAAAAGAATAAAAGACGTATTCAATCCTCACTATCAGCCGATAAGACCCAGTCAAGAAGCCTTATAGTAACAGATTCGGAATTACAAGAACTTATACGCTAAGGTCTAGTAGTTGATGAAGTTCATGAAGTATTATTATATGATCGAAAAAATATGCCTTGGGTTGATAACTTTATTAATCTTTCGATTAAGCTTGAAAATCAATGCAATGATTCACGAGAAAAAGCATATCACACCTTAATGAGAGAACTCTTTAGTATGAAGGCATTTCGTGATGCATCCAGTCAAGATGGACTCGTCTCCAAAGCAGAATATTATAGAAATAAAATTGATAATCGCATAGCCGACTTCATCATTCAAATGGGGAAAGGTAAAAAAGGATAGTTAAGTTGTGGATCAGTTGCGACATTACACCAAGTGACAACTATGGAAAGAGTGGTAGATTTGCTTAATGATGCCGAAAATAAAGGTCCTGAAATGCGTGGACAAATAATCATTTCTAAAAGATGTTCTCCCAAAGTCACGTAAAATTTTCCAGGTAAAATTCAGTTCATAAAATCACGTGGGTGGCTTAGATATTAGCGGTTGCGCAGTAAGTACGTCATCTCTATACTTCTCCTGTGATTTAACTACGCCCTGTGCTATTTTCGCAGTGCTCCTATTTTTAGATGTGCTATTTTTGTAACAATGAAGCCAGGGCCAAGATCTCATGAAATACCATCATATTTTTGCAAATCTATGGGGAAGTAGATCGTGGGTTCTTTTAGAACCGGGATCAATAAATAATTAATCCGGGCCTAAGGCGCTGTGCATGATGTTTGACTTTTTTTCCGGAAGGTTCTGGCATAACACGCATATTACGAATCTTTGAATTAGCATTATTACGCAAGTCAATCTAATATCCCTGATGTTAGAATGGGACAAGAATGGAAATTGCGCCTCTTAATCTACCGATTTACAGATCTTGATCCTATGAAATGTAAGGGGCCTACATTCTACATAATAAAACAAATTTCCATTTACGGGTCGTTAATGGATTTGTATTGGGGTACGAATAGGGGTTTAAACAACGCAAAAAACGTGCACGATCTTCCAGATCTTGTGTGATCTTAACGATAAACAGTATATTTCTTGGTAACAGCCTCATCTTTACATCTTTATTACTCCATTAATATTAAATAACAGCATATCAATTTTCAGATTTTATTTTAAGCACTATTGTTAAATGCGCCCCAAATTCAGGGAGGAAAATTTGTTATTATTAGACGGGATCGAGATCCGGCTGTTATAATTGTTTTAGCTGAAAAAATATAATTATGAAAAAATGTAGTTATGACGAATACACATAATAAAGCAACATAAATCGGGTTAAATTCTCTTTTCACGCGTAGTAAGCATACAGTATAAAATAAACCCTTTTCCCAGCGCATTTACGCAAGAGATTGCATATTAAAAAAAGTATATCTAAAAAACTTGATCCACCAATAATATCTCTTAATAAAATTACTACGTCTAATCATGTCCAGTTTGTCATTGCTCAACTCTTCGGGAGTCATGCCTTTTTTGACCTTAACCGCTGTTTTTTTGTTCATTGGTCCAGCGATATTCGTGGGGATCGTCACCATGTGGTCAAATCTCAAACAAAAAATTTCCGATGAACTTTCTGCACGTGTCACTAGAATCGTCGATACAAAAAATAATACACCGAAAATCGAAAACATCTTCAGTAAACTTACCGCGGAAATTAATACTAAAATCACCGATGAACTTTCCGCACGCCTTTCCGAAGTTAATTCTTCTTTCACTGCAGAGCTTGTGAGAAACAATAATAAACTTAATAAGAAACTTACCGGAGAAATCGCTAAATCCAAAGTTTAGAATAGTAATGTCAATTATGAGATGGGTAGATAGTAAAGAATTGAGTAGTTTTTTAGTTAATAATTTAGATAATAATCCAGAGTAGCGGGGAAGAAACTGCCATCATATTGGGTTAGGGCTCGGCAAATTTCTCCCTTGAAACATCCTGCTACTCTATCATTTTTACTTAGCCAACTTAATGTATATATATTACATAATAAAGAATATTTTCGATTGATTTTTAAATTTGTGAAGTTTATTATATCCGTAAGAAGTGATATAATGAAAATTGTTTTAAACGCTTTGCATCTAATATTAAAAACCGTGAGATGATAAAATCTTAACTATGGTAATTATTTTTTGTTAGAATTAACCTCAGATAAGATTTGCTCCATCGCGCGCACTGATGGCTGATTCATCGCAGTCAGAATTATTTTATCTGGTGGGTTAATGTCGTTAGCATATTTTGAGGTTGAGACTGGTCTACAGTGTAAAAAATTATAATCTACAAGCGAATCGACTTGTTCAGAACCAATTTCATTAATCAAGTCATCTTCTAAAATATATCCCTGATTCTCTGCTTCTACTATTGCTTTCATGGTTTTGATTAAATCACTATCTTTCCAAAGTGGTAGATTGGGCTTATCTGAATATTTCAATTTATTAGGATGGAGACCAGCTTTCAACTTCGAATATTCTGATCCGTAAACTGAAAAATCACTAACTATAAAACAATTTATTATGTTTTAAATTTTTAAAAATTAACAAAAATACATATTCTTTAAAAGAAAATAAAATCCGGCATGTACCTGCAAGCTTTCCTTTGAAATTTTGGTATTCTTTAACATACCTATCAATAATTAGCATGCGTGTACCCGTTATTTTGCGGACATGGTCAAATTTGCCTTCGAGTTCTTTGCATTCTTTTTTAAATAACAAATACCGTTATGTGAGTCCTCTACATATAAATAGATGAGTTCAGTAAAGACATACCATGTTTAGGAAGAACACGCTTTTCAAAATATTCTTCGGCTTCTTCCTTACTCAAATCTCCAACAACATATGGAGTTGCATGTGGGATATGCAAAACTAGACAGTAAATGCAAATTAGAGAATCATAAATCTTTACATTGCTATTAATAATGATTACAAGATGGACTTACGATTTTCGATCCAGTTAAAAAAGAATGAATCGGAAGAGGTAAGCACAGCGTGGAAGCGTTCTTCTTCTTTTGTATTTAACACCAGCCAGTTCAGAATTGATTTGAGAAGAGTTCCATCATTCTTCGCAAGCTGGCTAAACATATTTGCTTCATCAATAATCAAAATAGGTGGAGGTATATTGTGCCCATTCCAAAAGGTCCAGTTTGGAAGATAAGTATTAATATTATCAAGCAGTCTTGTGACATCATTAGAAGTAGTTGCGCTAGCTCCACCAACTTCATATCCTACGCTAAGACCAGTATATCCGGCGTTGAGTGTTCCTCCTACAACTTGCTTCAAGGAATCCTTATACTTATCGAAAAATGGATGAAATTGCGAATAAATTGAATCATATACTCTAGCTGGTGTGTCGAATTGTCCTTTACGGCAGTTGATAAAAAGAGGGTTAAATAATTTATCTTTACTCGTTATTTGACGGACTAAGGCGGTTTTTCCAGAGCTAGGAGGCCCTAGAACAACATGAAGTTGCGGGTCACCACTGAATGCATTTCTGAAGTTGACGAGTTCTCGCTTCCGGTTAAAAAAGTCAACCTTTGTACTATAGAGAGCAACATAACCGTTACTCAGTGTATTTGAAATACAGCCACCACCCGGTTGCAAACGTTTGAAGGATTTAGTTACGAACATGGCTGTATTACAGTGTAAGTAGAAAAGACAATCCTGTTGGTTTTTTAACGGAAAAATTAGTGATTTAATCAATAACGGTGGCTTAGCTATCATTAAGGGAGGTGAAATCTGATTGGTCGATCATCTCGTGACTTATAGTAACTCGCCAGCTCCTGGAACTCTCCTGGGGTGATACATGTGATATATGGTGGCTGTCACCTATAAACCACACGGTCCGAAATTTTCGTAACTGAACATGATGACCCTATAAAACTTGTATCTTGTATATCCTGTGTAGAAGAACATAATGATTTAGGTTTAACTATTTCCTATAAATTCAACGAGATTGATTAACCAACGAGAGATTAGTTATAAATATGACAAAAATTTTTATATTGTGTAACCTAATTTTACAGTACTTTATTAATTGCTATGTAGATGGCAAAAAATTTTTTTACTATATTTTTATAGTTTTCCATAGAATTTTTGCAAAACCCGTAAAAGTTCCATAGAAATAAGTCCGAAATTTGTTTTCATTATTATCACTTATTAAAATTATCAATTTTTGAACATTAATATCACTTAAATAGTGTTGTTAATCAGCACGAAAGCCTAACCATGGAAGACTAGCTAGGGCTCGCAAGCTCTGGCCAGGCTAGACGAAACCAAGTCGATTAACAACACTACACTTAAATTTCTTAATAAATTTTGTAAAATAAACTGATAAAAATACGTAGCTTGTCTTATTCTATCATTTTATCGGTTAAAATTTTATTCTATGTTATTTAGTTCATGATTTATAAAAGTTTGAAGTCACCTAATATTATTGTGGTTTATAGGTGACAGCCACCATACGTCATATCACAAACTGATTTAGCTGAGACGCTATGCATATGCATGTAAATATAGCCGAGAGATGACCCTATATAAATCCCAACTAAATAAAAAATGAATTTGAATTTAGCAATGTGTAGTCTCACTAAATCGACTACAAATCGATAAAGTTGCTTATAAAAATGAATCTGATATTTATTAGAGTATAATATTGCTAAATCGGCTAAAATAGCTATAAACTATAAAATCAATAAAATTGTTATAATCTGTTATAATCTACTAAAACACTATTATGGATTTAGATAGTAGAGCCTAATATAAGCTAGTTTCTGTAGGCTATAGTGATGTAAACTTCAAAGAATATAGAAGAATATTAGAAGCATTATGTCTTTTAGGTAAACGATATGATCATGAAACACCAGAAATGTGATGCTCCTGTATATGTGGTCCATTTAGAAAAATACTTAAAGAGAATCCAAGAATTCTTTCTGGAAATGGATACATTACAATGTGTGGAAAATTAATTGAAAGAAGTGATAGAGTTCATGCTCTTCCAACTAATTACATATATTGTAGTGTATGCAACTCCTTAGTTTTCATATCTGAAAATGGTCTTGGTGGTCTTCCCACAACTTATCGAGATAACCACTTGAAAAGATGTATTTCTGAAAATAATATTTTGAATGAACATGCAAGAAGAAAAGACATTCTCAAATCTATTGATACAATGGAATTTAAGATCTGGCAATATAAACAATACATATTACAAGAAGAGGCTAAAATTAATCGTCTCCATCTAGAGCTTTTCTCCCAATCAACTTTATACTCAGAAAAGGATAAGTTGGCATCAGTATCATATGATCATGATGTGAATTTTACGGCTAGCTATAAAGCATATGTCCAGTCTAAAGTAACAGTAGAAAAAATACTATGCTAAGTACTCCAAAATTCAAGCCAGCTTGTATTTTGCCTGCCAGGCAAGAAATGATTTCACCAACTTCTTATTAATCATCAAATTGTGAAAGTAATATAAGCAAAATATTTATCTCATCTCAGTATGCAAAACAAAATAACTTACTACCGTCTATAAACTATCTTAATCAGCCTGCATTAAGATTAAGAGATAGGACAAAAATTACATTCATTTAACTGACTGATTTTTGAGAAATATCATTTAGCCAAATATTACTTATTCTTTATTTTTTGCACTATATAATCTGCATACATGGTCGCCTAGTATAATTGGCCAAAGACACTATACATGAAATGCCTGCGTATATAGAGAAAAACCTGATCCACCTATTCTAGGTTAGATCCTATAATATATAGCTATTATAGTGAAGTATTTTAGGAAGATTAATGAAGCGATCTTAGGGATTCTTGATTCCTAAATACTATAATTACGGCTTTGAAAATTTCTATGCAATAGTTATTCAGTGAGCTTATAGGAATTATAAGAAGAGACCTAAATCTTTGGCAAAACAGATTTAGGAGGCAGTGAGAAATGATGGTATTCCTGATGATAAGAAGTATTTAGGTATAACTTCTTGCATTCCTTATATTGACTGGGAATTTGAGAAGAAAAATCAAT